TGGCTATTATTTGTAATACTTGTTCTTCGGTTATTTCATATTCAGTTCCATTGATATTTGCTTTGTAAATATTATCTTTGTAAGCAATACCAGTTGTCCCGAAAGTTTTGGCATAATGAGCCTTAACTTTGGCATCTCAATTATAATTATTACCGGAACCTTGATGGAATTGATTAGAAAGATTTTGATAATTTCCACCCGTGTTATTTTCTCATCTTTCAATTCATTTCTTTATAAACCTAGTGTTGGGATAATTGCCACTTATTCCATTAATATCAGTTTCTAATTGAATTATTTTATCTTTGATTGATTCTCTTTCTGCAACTAATCTTTCTATAACATTTTTATCAATTTCTTTTCCAGTAGCATCTTTGACTTTCTCAGTCTTTGTAATTAACTTTTTAATTTTATTAAGTCATTCTTGACTATACTTATTATACTTTTTAGACATATTCAATTTTCTTTTTTTGTATTATTGATGGTTAATTAGCAGCCACGATATAAGTAAACGACGCTGCTTTTTTTATCGTAATATCTATAATATTTTTAACACCTACTATACACCTCTATATATATTTATATTTTATATTATTTATAACACCCCCCAGTTTATTCAGACCAATAAATATATATATAGGCATGAAATATATTTTCTTATTAGAAATTCCCTCCTCAGTTTCGATGGATAAAAGGCATCGGATAAATGTAGCACTGAAAAGTAAAAGTTATAGCAAGCCAAAAAGGAACGTTTATTTGATAGAAGTAGCCACAGAAAAAGAAATTGAAGCTATTGCTGAGTTTGTGAGACGCACACTGGTAGATCCTAGATCTACAATAAAATATTATCGTCTAGCCGAATAAAACCATGATTCATATTTTTAATAATATTTACAAAACTGAAAATTTTACTGAGCAAACCCAATCTAAAATCTGCTGTAAATCGATTTCTCATTATATTCTCCAATGTCCCTCTTGTCAAAAATTTATCTGTTTTAATCATGCGGTTGTAAAAGTGAAACCTAAAAGTGAAGAAAAAATGCTAGTTTGCTTTTATTGCCAGTATAAATAACAATAATAGGCGGCGGAGGTAATCAAAAATGAACCGGCAATTGGAACCACTCTCAAAACAGAAAGGGGAGAAATTATTAATGATTATGACCCGTTTTTTTCTCCGCAAAAACCAGGAGGGAGTAAATAAATCTAAAATATAACTATATATAAATAAGTATATAAGTATATAAATAATATGAACTGAACTAAAATAAGTAAAAAAGACCCCAAGAATCTAGGAGAAACCCCTACTAGTCCCAGCCGCAATTTGGCTCGACCGGATCCAGTCCTGGTTTCTGGCTTGGATAAGCGCTACACGGGCCGCAATCTACGAATATCTTTGGCGGTTCGGCCGGAATTTGCCACCGAGTTAAAACGAGCTGCCGCCTTAAATAATTGTTATCAGATAGAGTTATTAGAAAAAGCCTGAGAGTGTTATAAGCGGCAGCATGACATAACGGGGTCATAAGGTTATAAAAAAAGAGTTAGTAATGAATAAGCCCAAATTTTATTATCTAAATTGGAGCCAAGACCGTTTCTTAGTTAAGCAAATCGGAGTCAAAAAAAGCGAATGTCAATTATTAGAATTAGGCGAAAGTTTGTATGATGACCTATGTCAAATAGTGGCTAATAGTTGGCAATTGATGAAAAAAATAACTCCGGTCAGCCGGCACCACCAAGAATTACATGAGGGTGCTTATAAAGCCGCTATTTATTCTTTGGTCTATAAATGAGAATTAGAGAAAACCGGATTATTAACGGCTTGGGCTGAGTTGGGCGTCCGACTTGCTCGGGGTCATTATTTTACTAATGGCAACAAACGCACCGCTTTGTTAGCGATGACAACTTTTATTCAGGCCTGTGGCTTTCGATTACCAGCAGCGGACGATAAAATCATTTTTCAGAAGTGGGGTCGATTATGTCTAGAAATAGTAGTCGCGGAAAGTGAGGAGTTAGCGGTCGAATTAGTTAAAGACCGAATCTGATTAGAAATACTAAAGCATAAATATCATGGTAAATAAAAATAAGCAAAATAAAGAAAAGTTAAAAGGTCGGTTAGACTGAAAAAAAGGATTAAAAGTTACTCAACAAAATAAAACTATTTTAGCGGCCGTTTGTTGGTTAGCAGATAAATAAGTATATACTTATATAAATATATACATATAGCAATATTATGACCATAATCGCTTTCATCAGTCAAAAAGGGGGCGTCGGAAAAAGCACCTTGTCCCAAGCCCTAGCAGTAGAAGCCAAAAAACAGAAATTTAGCGTTTTATTGGCTGATTGTGATAATCAACAAGCCACTAGTTATGAATGAAGCCAAATTCAAGGAAAAGTCCCTTGTCAGGTATTTAACCGAGTTAAAGATATTTGACCGCTTAGTAAAAAATATGATCTAATAATCATTGATGGACCTGCCAGAACTAGCCAAGCGACATTAGAAATAGCCAAACAGGCCGATTTAATAATCCAACCGGCTGGAGCCAGTCGGGCCGATTTGCGGCCGGCGGTCAAAGAGTTTCACGCCCTCAAAGAGGCCGGCATTCCTCCTAGTAAATTGTTATTTGTTGTCAACCGAGTTGCTTCCTCAGCCGAAGCCCAAGCGGTCTATTCTCATTTGCAGCAAGCAGGCTATCAGATAGCAGAAACCCCGCTTTATGAAAAGCCTTCTTACCGGACCGAACAAAACGGCGGCAATAGTATTGCTAATGTCCGCTATAAAAACTTGGCTAAAAACGCCCGTCAGTTAGTAAAAAATCTTCTCTCCTATTTATAACTATACCTATATACTTATTTACTTATATAAATATATACTTATATACATATAGTAATATATTTACTAAGCACTAAATCTTTCCTGACAGGACTCGGAACAAAAATAAACCCCTTCATAACAACCATATAACGTTTTACCTTGGCTATCAGTAAAAGCCACCTTTTGCCAGAGCATATTTTCTATATTCCCAGACTCGCCACAAGTCCTACATTTCGCTCACATTTTATCAGGGTCAAATTTTTTCTTCCTGGTCCTTTCACCATTGCCATTATTAAGTTGGGTAATCAGGTCTATTATATATAATAATTATAATTCTTTTGAAGGCAGCAAAATTATTAATATTATAGACCAAGAGGCAACAAAAATAGCCC